TGGATAGGTGTTGAGCCAATCAGTTAATACTGGTAAAAATGACAGATTATAGGTGTCGAGCCTTCCAGTTGATACTGGTAAAAATGACAAATTGGTAGTACTTACATACTCTACTTGCATATACAGACCTAGGGATTACCAGAGTTGTATTTACCGCCCTTTGAGTTAAATTGTTAAGCTTTGAACAATGGAAATTGCATGGCATCATTGAACATGATGGTTTTCAAAAGATGAAGATGTGATTTATTTGTAAAAAGGCATAGCATGGTCTATACATTCATCTCTTGAGATTTGTATAAAATGTATATACTCTGTGAAGGATTTCTTACTGGGCTTTATGCTCACCTTACAGGATTTTTGTGAAGGAAAAGACGTGGTGAATCCACCTAACTGAGGGCGTGGAAAAGTGTGTGTGTTGAGAGCACAAGGTTCTCATTTACTATGATTCTATTTGTAAGCCAAGGGCTTTGTATGTGTGGGTTTAAATAACCGTTATGTATAATCGGGCTTAAGCCTTGGAAACTTGTAAACCCTTTGGGGTATTTATTTGTTCATTTACTTGTTGTCGGATTAATTTATTATCGCATGAGGAACTATTTACATTATGAAATGCAAGTGCCGGATTGTATGATTGGTTTTCCTTAAAAAGGGCCATGATTATTGTAATTGTCATTTGGGTATGAAAATTGGGGCGTTACACTAAGGAGTTTTTAGTTGTCACATCATACCCGCCACGTTGGAGTGTCACATATTATATTTGAGAAAAATACACTAAGCAATTTTTAGTTTTTTTTTAGTATCACAATATACTCCCAACATTGTCACATTTGAAAAAAGTATACTGAGAAGTATTTAGTTTTTTTGGAGTAGCACATCATATCCATTATGTTGGAGTGTCACATCATACTTGCCACATTAATAAAATGGTATAGTCGTCCACCAAAACACTACCAAAATTGAAAACATGACCATACAGAAAGAAACTCTCTACTAATAGGACTTGATAGAATAATAAAAAAAACTTGAAACTAATTGGAATACTTATTTGTGAGATAGGATTTATTGATAAATATCTGTTAAGGAACTCAAAAACTAACTAAAAATAAAAGGGGGAAAAAAATATTAGGCTAATTGTCTTAAAGCTCAAAGCTGAAAAAATGCATGAGAATGCCCAAAAAAATAAAAAAAAATAAAGGGATAATTACACCCAAAACGTCGGCAGACATGGAGATCGGCGAAGGAGATTGTTCAGATTGTTCAGCTCCTCTCATTTCCTCTCAGCCCTTCTCTCTCTCTCTCTCTCTCTCTCTCTCTTCTCTCAACCCTTCTCTGTTTTGAAATCTGATTTTTTTTTTGTTTTTTTTTTTTCAAATTTCACGCCAAAACGACGTCGTTTTGGCGAGAAAGAATCTCAGCCCTTCGATTGTTCACTCTAGGAGATCACTCTAGAGAAGGCACTCTAGAGGATCCTCGCGCTACAGACAGAGTAAATCTGGTCCAGGCCATTAATTGCTCTTACACACAATAGATTGGAGAATGAGAATATATAGCAATGGATGTCAACAAATGTCTACTACTCATAGGGCATGTTTGATTGGAAGGATTAAAACATGGGATTGAGATTATTAATCTGTGGGCCCAATTATCCTATGTTTGTTTTGACATTTTGTTTTAGGATTGTTAATCCAATGGATAATTAATCCAACAAATTTGTAGGATTATTAGTAATAGGGTAGGGGTGTGATAGTGAATACCACACTAAGTTAATAGGATTATTAATACTTCACTATTAGTCTTGTAAATCAAACATGACCATAGAGTCGAAGATAATTAGAGGGAATGAAAAAAAAAAAATCAGATCATGGATTGAAAGTTTACAAATTTAAAGACACTAAAACTTAGGCACACATAGGTCGAAACCAAACTTCAAAGCTGCAAGTTCCTCAAGTATATACTGAATTTGTAGCTTATTAAATTTCTTGTAAGTAATTCACAACCCACATGCATATATATATATATATATACAGAGAGTGTGTATTTCTCAAACTGACCTATAGTGGAGAGATTGAATTTGTGTGGAAATGCTTCACAAAACAATGTAAATGTTTCTGTCCTGTTTTGAATTTGAAATGGTTTCATTTTGTGGGTTGATTCATATGGAGACTCATAGCATCATGGGGATAAACATAAATAAAGAATTGTGTTTATGATATTCAAAAAGAAACGAATTGACGCATAACATAATCAATGTTGGTTTCCTTTTGAGATTAATAACATTTATTTATCATATTTTGTATGATATCTTATGTTTTTATCATTGTTTATCATCTTATTTGCTTGTGATTTACTCCCTTGGGAAAAATAACCAAATATAATTGCTGAGACGAAGAGGCACATGTTCACAAACATGTGAGATTTAATAATAACATAAATTACAATAATTTTTTCGTGTTTTAGTTAATTTTCTTTTTATATGAACCTAATCTAAATGTATTTAAAAAAATAAAATATTTATGAAGAAATCTAAAAGGATCTTTATAAATACAAAAAAGAAAAGAAAAGAAAAAACTATTGAATTTTTATATTTTTTGTATTTGTAAGGTATCATGTGAACTTTAATGTTGATAGCTTGTGTAAAATTGAAAATATGACATAACAATAATGATGACTTGTTAAATGGCCCAACTCATTGAAATTCCTGATTACACCACTGTCTGTAACTAATGGAATTGTTCTCTTCAACTTTGCGATTATTCAATTTTTGTTTTCTCTACCTTCTTAGATTCTCTAATAATTCACTTTTAAGCTCTTATATCTTTAATGTTTTATCTTTTGTTGATACTTAATGTATGTCACCTCTATTGTTCTACTCACTCTAACTATTGTCTCACAGTTAGAGATTCTTTTATTTTTGAATTGTCTTTCTTCTGTATCAATAGAATTGTGTGAGAATTTCAAAATTTGATCCAACAATTGAAAGTGTATTAAGATAGAAGTTTTTCATAATCAAGGGCTCCATGCCCTATCACACTTTTTTTTTTTTTTTGGCGTGTACAATGATTTTTCCTTTGATTTGAGTGATTCTTTTGCATTAACCACATCAAAGTCCTTTTTTCTTTTCCAGAGTTATATGATTTTACTTTTACTGTTTGCTTTTATCTTTGAATTATCTTTCTTTTGTATCAATTGAAGAATTGTTCAAGAATCTCAAATTATGATCCAATGATAGAAAGTGTATTCAGATAAAAGGACATCATAACCAAGGATTCCATGCCCTATCTCACTTGTTTTTGGCGTGTGTATGACGGTTTTTCCTTTGATTTGAGTGATTCTTTTCTTCAATCACATCAAAGTCTTTTTTTCTCTTCGAGAGTTATGTGATTTTGCTTTTACAATTTTCTTTTGTAGATCATGCGCAATGTGTCATTTGATTTTAGTTTAGGTTTTCTATTTAGAAAAAATAAGAAACACATATTTTTTTGGTAAAAAATAAAAATAAAAAGTATTTAATACACAATGTTTTGAAAAAAAGAAAAAAAGAAAACACATGTTTGGTGACTTGCTCTTTTAACCCATTCTCAATATTTTGTAATTAATCAATATACAACAAGTGAAGAAATTCTCAAACTAAGAAAATCATAAACTAACTAAAAATAAAAGGAAAAAAAATAAATAAAAAAATAGGCTAATTGTCTTAAAGCTCAAAGCTGAATAAATACATGAGAATGCCAAAAAAAAAAAAAAAACAAACAAACAAACAAACAAACAAACAAACAAACAAACGAACAAACAAAACCAGGGTTTAAGCCTTTTAACAAATAAACCTGAGTTTTTAATTTTGTCAATTTAAACCCTAATCTTTTAATTTGTTGTCAATCTAAACCATTGGCTTATTTTTGTTAAGTAAAATCAACAGAAAAATAGTATTTTAGTTATAAAACTCAATATAGATATACATAAAATGTTTAAAATACCTTTTTATTGAGTTTAATGACTGAAATACACATTTTTCGATCAATTTTACTTAATGAACATAGACAAATGATTTAGATTGAAAATAAATAAAAAATTTAGACTTTAAATTGACAAAATTAAATAACAAGATTTATTTTGTTATAAGGTTCAAACCTTGAGTTTTTTTTTTTAATATAATTTCTCCAAAAATTAAATAAAGCTAATAGAACTATAAACAGAAAAAATGTGAAAAATTAGCTTAATGATCTCAAAGGCTGGCCTGACTTAATCTTGGCCCGCAAAGCTAGGGTTTATGGGTTGAAAATAATTTTAGATTTTAGAATATGTTTGGCTTCGTCCAGCCCTCACTACAAGAAATGTCACTTTTGGCTACCAAAATATTGGTCGGCAAAAGTCACTTATTTAGTAGCCGAAAGTGTTTAGCGACCAAAATTTTTTGTCGCTAAGCTCGTCGCTTTTACCCTGTCGGTGATAGTATTGGCGACTAAAATTTGTTTGGTCGCCGAAAGTGTACACATTTGGCTACTAATCTTAGTTTAGTCGGGAAAAGGTATGTTTCCGCCACTAAAGTATTAGTCACCAAATGAGGTTTTTTGGCTACTAACTTGTTGTGGTCGGGGAAGGTATCACTTTTAGCTACTAAATAATCGGTCGCCGAAAGTACACATTTGGCTACTAATCTTAGTTTAGTCGGCAAAAGGTATGTTTCCACCACTAAAGTATTAGTCACCAATAGTTTCTTTCTTTCATTCTCAAATCTTTTAGCTACTAATTATTTGGTGGCAAAAACGTTTTGGGTTATGTTTTTGCTACTAAATTATTAGTAGCCAAAACTTTTAATTACCTATTTGGCTACCAAAACATTTGGTAGCCAAATGCTTTAACGTGTTTTTTTTTTTTCGAATTTTTTTTTTCTAAACAACCTTTATCCATTATTAATACAACATGTACCCTGTATAGACAATATAATCCATCAACGCTAAATATATTATCAATCATTCAACCACGTGCACACATTTCAGTTCCAACCATCCAAATAATTAATATTGAACGTCCAATTATATATATATATATATATTACAAATTCCATAAGAACCAAGTCTAATCCAACGTCAATATTTTAATTCCATACATAATACATGACTAACCAAATTAATTGTACACCTACAACTTCTGTACCACAACAAAAATTATATTAACTAATGAAAGACATACAAACATGGACCCATCATGAGTTCCTGTTTTAGCTTTTCAATGACAGTAACAAAGTATCTGAAAATCAACAAATGCCACCGGAGTTCCATATGTGCTCTGCATCTTCAATTTTATAAATCCATGGCAACTGGGAAAGGACAAAAAGAAATAGAAAATTAAATTCCACAAGCTTCACATATTAGGAAAATACATGATAAAAATAATTACTCCAAACCTTGAAAATACTTGAATTAGCTCTTGCTCTGAACAAGTTGGCCCCAAATTTGCCACAAATAGTGTTGGACATGCATTAACATTTTGCGGAACATGAGGTGCAGAGTAGTTGTTCTGCTAATGTAGAAAAAATCCCGAGAGAACTGAATTAGTGAATAAAGATTCAAGCATACTGGATAAACTATTTAACATGAGGAATTGGTTATGCAAATGCAAAAGGCCCAATAACAAGATCAATTAAAATGATGGATAATGATGCTATCGGAAAATACCACCTAGCAGTAGTGTGTTAGTCTATTGCATCAAGGTAATATAGTTTTCAAGTAGGTTTGTGGATCATCTTCAAAGAAGAATTGACTTCTGACAACCATAAATACTAGTATCCAAGGGGACAATGTTAAAATGGTTAAGATAAGAGCCATGGCGAATTTATTTTGTTTAATTTTCCAAATATCCCAAAATGGACAATTGAACTACACTACAAAGGCAGGTGACTCCAAAACAGCCTAGAAAAATTAACCCAACAAGTTTGACGTATGAGGCACTTGCTTTCGCAAAGAATTAGTTTCATAGCTAAAGCTCTCATGTTGACATATTTAACAGATGGGTTGACAACCAACGGCCACAGAACGAGTCCACAGAGTTCTTTAGAGTATTTGAGGGTAACTAGACCACTGTAATTAAAATAAAGCGGAGTGAATTGCTCGAGTTAAAAATAAAGACAAAACAGGATAACAATATCCATGGTTGCAAGTAATTATGGACATTGATAGGAACCTTTCTGTCACCTAATTTATCAGATCCCCCTCTAGTCTTATTTGAGGGAAGAGGGAGTGAGGTCTGTGTGTGTGGCTTGGTTAGAGTGAATTGCTTCAAAAAGCATACTTAAACATAGTTCTTCGAATAGAGACCAACTAAGAAGTTGAAATCTACAAATAAAAAACATTCGGGAAGTTATAAACTATGTGGGAAAAATGTACCAATTAACAAAACCAGCTTCAGAGCATCTGTTAGACAACTTCCTAACTTCCAGCTTTTCTGGGCATCTTCCGCTGCCAAGAAAAAACAATATTTTTTTACTGCTTATGAGGGACAGAAATAACATACATTATAAAGTTGTGCCAACCTAGCTTTCATAAATTTATGAAGTTCAAGTCTAACAAGGTTTCTTTCCCCTTGCAGGACATGATAACAAGGTTAGACATATTTTCTTTTCTTTTCTTTTCTGCTGAGTAAGGTTAGACATCAACATAGAAAAATTAAATTTAAGAGAAATTCCCTTAAAAAATATATATATCAAATTCAATGTGAGAATAAACTGTGCAATGATGCATATTGAAATGGTAGCTTAAGGTGCTTGCAAGTAAGCAAAAAATAAAATAAAAATGAAATGGCTATATAACACAGAAATAATGCATAATTCTGGTTCCAAGCCCAAGATTAAAGAAAGGGGAAAAAAATTAAGGAAAACCTGAACAGATGCAAATGAACTACAAATAATAATAATAACAATAATTGACTAACCATGAAAGAGATTATACAAAGCAATTCAAAATAACTATACCAATGCCATGACCCATGAGCATAACAATTCAGCAAAGTAAATACATTTCAAAATAATGCAAATAACCATGGAGGCATAGCAACATAATGACAATCATAAATGCAAAAAATCCAAGAATATATGGAAACCTAAAAGCAGACTCTAAAAACATTAATTAAAACAAAAGACCAAGTTTGAAGCCATGCTCTCTCTCTCTCTCTCTCTCAATTAATCTATAACTAAGCTTGTTTAGTGTCCCAAATATTTGACATGATCTAATGGACTGACTCTAGTCTGTAAGGTTTCATGTCAAATCATACTAACACTATGTAAAGTTGATTTGCAATTAAGATGAATTCTTCTTTGAGGCATTTCATCAAACACCCTGTCCACCAAGGTTATTATATAAGAACAACACAATATATACACAATAACACAGAAACAATGTGAGACTTCAATTCACACATCCACAATTTCGCATACAATTTGATCAGATTGTTGAAGAAGAAGAAGAAGAAAAAGAAGCCACATACACAGAAACCCCATAAAATCATTATTATTAAGATTGATTTACAGGAAACTCACCAAGGAGTAGTGGGCAATGTCAATCTGTCAATGCATGATAGCATATCAAATTAGGCGAAAGTGTATATAAGAAAACATCACTAATCAAAATATAAACCAATTAGTGTGGGGTTTTTTTTACAGTAACGAAAAGCACACATATAAACAACCTTGACAACATAAATTGAATACCCATGTTTCTGAAATCCAATCCACATAGGGAAGGTAGAAAACTATTTGAAAAACCAAACCCATTTCAGAAACCAACACGAAATTAAACTGAATCAAGAATATAAAACCCTAGAGCAACAATCAGAAAGGGGAAAATAGAGGAAGGGAGACAGAGACACAGCTCGATCGAAAGAGAGAGCAAGTGCGCAGAGAGAGGGAGAGAGAACCTGTGCTCTGCAGGCGATGGCGATCTGCAGAGGTGGCGGTGGCGGTGGCGGTGGCGATCTGCGGCAGTGGCTGTTGCCATCTGAGGCGGTGGCGGTGGTCTGTGGTCATGTGAAGTGGGGTGAGGTTTGGTGTGGTGAAGGAGAATAAACAGAGAATAGGAGCGAATGTTATATATATTACACCATTAGCGACTAAAACTTTTAAGTCGCCAATTAATTTTTCAAATCCCTCCAAAATTTAACGTGTTTCCCTCCAATTATTTTAATTTTTTGGCGATTAACATTATTTTCGTCGCTGAAAATCAACTTCTGGCGACTAAAATTTTAGTCGCCAAAAGGTAAAAATTAATTTTTTATTTTACATTTGCTGACCAAAGGTTTTAGTAGCCAAATGTACACCAACGGCGACTAACATTATTTTTCGTCGCTGAAAATCAACTTTTGGCGACTAAAATTTTAGTCGCCAAAAGGTAAAAATTAATTTTTTATTTTACATTTGCTGACCAAAGGTTTTAGTAGCCAAATGTACACCAACGGCGACTAACATTATTTTTCGGCAGAAAATATATGTTTGGCGACCAAAATTTTGGTCGCCGAAGATCAAAAATAAATTTTTTAATTTTCATTCGGCTACCAAACAATTTAGTAGCTAAAGGTGCCCCTACGGCTACTAAAATTTATTTTAGTCACCAATTGTGATATGTTTAGCTACTAAAAATTTTTTTAGTGGCCAATTGTAATATTTTTAGCTACTAAATTTATTTTAGTCGCTAACAATTAACATTCCCCTACTAAAAAAAATTAGTAGCCAAAAAGTTGACTTTTGCCGACTAAAATTAATTTTGGTAGCCAACTCCCACACTTTTGGCGACTAAATTTGTTTTGGTAGCCAAAAATGGTCGCCAAAAATGTGTTTTCTTGTAGTGCCTAGTCAAAACCCCAAATATTCGGTATTTGTTAGAGTCTTGGATAACTAGTTTACAGATTCAGTAAATCCGGTCTGGGCCATTAATTGCTCTTGCACACAATAGATTGGAGAATGAGAATATATAGCAATGGATGTCAACAAATGCCAACTACTCATAGAATCGAAGATAAATAGAGGGAATGAAAAAAACATAAAAAAAAAAAAAAATCAAATCATGGATTGAAAGTTTACAAATTTAAAGACACAAAAACTTAGGCATACATAGGTCGAAACCAAACTTCAAAGCTTCAAGTTCCTCAAGTATATACTGAATTTGTAGCTTATTAAATTTCTTGTAAGTAATTCACAACCCATATGCATATATATATATATATATATATATGTATACAAAGAGAGTGAATTTGTCAAACTAACCAATACGGGAGAGAAATATTCATGCCACACCGTACTTCCTTGCTACCAAGCTAAGATCGTAGTGGTTGAACTCCGTCACACTGCAAGCAAACAATAGTGAGTTACCTGGCAGGTGGGTTGCCGGAAAACCCCTCCGACGGTCAAGTTAGCTTTCTTTTAGAGAGAAGAGAGAAGGAAGAGCACTGTAGAGAGAGTGTGTAGCTAAAGGTTGCTTACCCTCTGAGTCCGTTCTCTCTTCTCTTTCTAGGCTGGTCATGCAGCCCCAGATTGTACGTGCACCACCTCTGTTGTCCTTTGTTGAATGCATGATTGTACTGCCATCTCTATTCTTTACACGTGTATGTGTAAATACCGCCAAACAAGGTTGGCCAAACTGCCAAACGGTATTAACACATGCCCTGAGCGGTTTCCTTCACATTGGTCCATACAATAATGCATAATCGCGCTATCACTTATGCTATTCCAAGGGTACTCCCTTTTGGCAGTCCAACACCTAACTGAGATAGATCAACCATCGAGTGGGCACCACGGTTGGTCAACAGATATGCGCACTGCCCCCAGAACGATTGGGTGCGCAGTAAGTCATCACGGCCAAATAGCGCGGCCATGGCATTCAACGCTACGCCTCACCCAACTGACCTCGCGACGTTGCATTGATCTCTGGAACTGTTGTATCCAAACGTGGCCCATGTTGAGTCCCAGGTCCATGTTATTTCAACCCGGCCCAATCTCATGACCTGAAACGTCATGTTGGTACAGTTCGGCCAAACGTTGTGTCCTAGGCTCTCCCGACATGGCCCAACACCGTATTCCGTGTTGGGGTAGCTCGGCCCATTGTTCGGCACAAATCTCCCTCTCAATTGTCCCTTAATCCCATCCGAGCTAAGCGTGAGTGGGATTACCTTCTCTGACTGAGCTATCCACTTTGGCCGGTCATTGAGACTTGTGCTGGTTATCTTGTCATCAATCAATCAGCCGTACTGACAACTTGTCATTTCGCTGCCACGTGGCCTTCCCTGATTGGTTTCGTGCAACCATACAATTGTCCCCACTATCTCTGAAATTTGAAAAGTTAGCGCCTCTTCATCATCACATATATGGGTGATACAAATCCCCTCGAAATCCTTACTATTCATCATCCTTATCGAGTCTAACCCTAGTTCTCTTAGAGCCCACGTTGTCGCCACCGCTGCCGTCGCTTCTGTTTGTGCCGTCTCCAGTGTTTTCCATCATCTAGGACATCAAAACAGAGGTCAAGGTTGATTGAACCTTAACTTCGTCTTCCGAATCTGTAAGTTCTTCTAGCTTTTATCTCTTTTTCATTATTGTTCTTCGAGTTTTTCTTATTTGGGACTGTTAATCTACTGCCTATACCCCCTTGTGGGGTCAAAATTGATGGATATTCGTAGAAATTAGGAAAACCGCAGCTAAAAACATGAGTAGGGCCTCTGTGCCCCTAATTCCCTTCAATTTCTATATACAACTTTGTATTTAGGATAACAGTGCTAATTTTGGATAAAACCGAGTAAAATCTCACTTTTAGATCCAAAAATAGGATTGAGCCGGGCTAAAACTTGTTTCTTGTCCTCCCAAGTGGCTGTGACCGTGCTAGAAGTTTGTAGGAACACTGAACCGAGATAGGAACCCAAACACTAGAAAGTAAGGCCCAAAACCGGCCTAACACCCCAGGCTCAGAAACCGAGCTGTTAGGCTTCACTCTGATGGCTGAGTTAAAACACTCTTTAACGTTGAAACCGTACAGAATATGCCACGCGAATACTCGCACTTTTTTGTCATAATGTAAACTGAACCAGGGCCGACCAGGCACACCTTAAAGTCATAATCGGTGAGGCTCAAAGACTGAGTAAATAATCACCAGAGCCGCTCAATTTTGGCCGGGCTATTATTGAACTTACCATACAAAATAAAACCGAGGTAAATAGGAAAGAACCAGTTTATGGTTAGTTCACCTGGGGTAATGGCCGAGTTCAATAGAGAATTCAACATTCCAGATGACGTCCACCTTGAGCTGGCCAAGAAAGGAGACACTCCATGGGGTAAATTAGACGCCTGCCCCTTCATGGTCGTGTCCATTGTGGAAGGCACCCTACGCTTCCTGGTCCAACC